ACAAATATCAGTCTCTTAATGCAGAACTAAAAACATTGTACATGGAAAAACCCATTTCCTTTGGTTTTATAAAATCAGTGACAAGACATGGCCAATGGAGAATAAGCATTCATAGAATCATGGAATCACAGAGTATTTTGCCTTGGAAAGGACTTTCAAAGGTCACCTAGTCCAGCCCAAGGCTGGACAGCTTTCACCAGACCAGGTTGTTCAGAGCCCCATCCAACCTGGCCTAGAACACCTCCAGGGATGGGGCATCCACAGCTCCTCTGGGCAACATTCACACTTGCAGCTGAGTTTGTAGGACTCAACCTTACAGAGCAAAACGCCCATCCTGGACACCAAAAAGGGACAACTGAAAACAAGGGTGGAAGCTGGGGGAGGCAGCTGAGGGCCTCTCATTGTTTCCCCAGGCTCCCTGGCAGTGTGGCTCCTTGCAGGCTCCTCCAAAGCATCAAAATTAGGCTTCTGCCCATATTTTACTCTCCAGGGAAATATGATTCCAATTAGAGACCAAGAAAGCACCAAGCAATTTATCAGGGTAAACAAGATGTCGCATGCAAGGCTGCAGAAAAGCATCTCATACATTCTCTCTAATAAAGAAGATTTTTCTGGAGTTGTGACACCCATTGAAAACCTAACAAAAATTTAGCTGGAGCTAAAAATTTAACTAGAGCAGGAACTTGAGCAGCAGAACAAGCCCCTGGTAGTGAGAGGGCACAATTCCCAATACCCAAATCCCATGGCTCTAAAGCACAGGTGGAGCCATGCACCAAGCTGTACTGGCAATATGGACAGTCAGCAAATACCAGTGAGACTGAGGAGACAATCTGGAGGTGAATTTTCAAATCTAATCAGATCTGAGATCACTACCAAGGGTTTTTGTCATACTCATAGCAGGCAAGATTTGGTTTGCTATTATATATTCATATGGTTTCATTCAGAACAACCTTGTTTCATTACCACGGATTCCACTGTGCTTCACAGTCCTGCTTCATTTCTTCCAAGGCAAATTCTTCAGGAGATTAACCTGACACATTTACTCCCCTGATAATGGATCCTGTCTTTTCTGATATCATTACCAATTTCAAGCACATAGCAAGAAATAGGCATAACATTTTTTAAAAGTAGTGACTTGAAAGCTTTCTTGTTTCCACATTTTCTTGGTACAACACATTTCACTTTACATGTACTGTTGTAAAATTCAGCTCAAGTAAATATAAAATAAATTATTAAGCTTCTAGCCAAATACTTCCAGTCCTAAAACCCTCTTTATTGAACTAGAAGTGCTCCAGTGCACAGCACAGCTCTAACTAGAGTTCAGATTTTAAGGAGCTTGAAGCTGCAATTGTTCTTTTCTTGGAGTTCAATGTATTATTCTTATGTTTCATATGCACAGAAAACATTAGTGAAGATAAATTGTGCAACTGGTAATTGAAATTAGAGCTGCAACATCTATTATGGTAACATCCACTGTGCCACATCTTCCACACACTGGGAATGAAAAGGATTTTGCATATGAAGCACCAGTCATGATACTCACTGGAACAAAAATGCAATAAGAAACAGAATAAAATACATTTACACAATATAAAGTTCCCTAAAATTACTTACATTGTCATTACTAGTCTTCTACCATCTTTACAGATGAATTAAGTAAACCCCCAGTCCAATTCTGGGAGATGTGTCTGAGGAAAGTCAGGCTTTTTCTAAAGCTTGAAAAGTTCACAGTAAAGAAACCTGTTCAAAACATCAGTTTCCTTCTGAAAATACAGATGTATATAATATCTGCCCACCTAACAAAGGGAAACCTGCATGATCTTTGGAAGAATTCTTTGAACTACCTTCCTACCAAAATTGCAGAATTTACCAAACATTTCTGAGATTTCAAAACTAGGATAAAACTATATTGCCTTTGAAATCCAAGTAACCATTAAGTGATTATAGCATCAACAAAGCTCTAATAAAAGGGCCACCAACTGAAGACTATCCACTTCAAGCATATTCCTGGGACCTGCTTAGCATTTCAGCTCTTTATAAATTTCTTCCAAATCAACAACTTTTTACAAGACTGTAAAATTTGCCTATCATTATCACATCAGGAAACAAAAGCTTTTCTGTATTTTAACTGATTATCACAGTAACTGCTACTTCATGTGATATTAAAAAGAAGAAAAAAACCACAAAACACACAGACATTGCACCCTGTCTGGTTGGGGTACCCATTCTTTGGGGATAATCTAAAGTCCCTGTGTGGAAATAACAGCACAGACTATTTTAGAGCAAAAAGCAATTAGAAAGATGGAAATTAATATCAACTTCCTATTTTCAGAGTGCTTCAGACTGTATATGAAGATGATTTCTAAAACACATGACAAACTTGGCTACATCATCTGTCCAAATCTGGTGTGGTAAGTAAAATGACTTAAAAGGAAAGCAAGATGATATTTATCTATAAATATAAAAAAATTTCCATTTTTATACCATTACAGGAGCACTGCTTTAATCACCAAGAATGAGGATTCATTTCCCATCCTGTAACTTGGTACTGCCTGCTCTGGCATCTTTTAATTGGGATCAGGACTAAAGAAACAGCTCTTTAAAATCTGACCACAACTCCAATGAACTAAAGGACTGGATCAAAGCCTGGTTATCCACAGTAATATTGCAGTCAGATGCAGCTTACTAAATATTTAAAATACATAAAGATAAATATGCAGGCCTGTAAATCACTACAAACCAAAACAAGAGATGATCTTTAAGGTCCCTTCCAACCCAAACCATATGATCCTATTTCTGCAAATGCCTCCTGGAAAAAGACAGATTATCTGCTTCATTCATTTTCTAATGAGCAATGTTCAGGAGTTTTATTATTATTAATTGCATATAAATTATCATGATTTTTGTATCCTTGGGAAAGTATTTAGCCATTCACCTCTCAAAGGAACAGTGCTGAACAAAGGCAATGAATGCAAGGCATATAAGAACAATGCAGAACACAGAAATTTATGCATGCCATTTAAAAGGCATGGCATTTAAAAAAATCAAAAGTATGTCATAAATCTTTAATTATAAGGAAAAAAAAAAGCCCAACTAATGTTTGTCAAGTCCTTGATAATATTTAAGCAAGAGCACTGCCTACTTCAGGAGTGCAAAATCTTCTTAGCTCACTTATCTGCATGTATCCTCAACCTCCTCTGAAGTGTTCTGCTGCAAAATTCATTGTATCTGAGATCTGCTAATCATCATCAGGAAACTCTGTTATGCATCTTAAGGATGTACTTTAAGCTCTCAAGAGGAAAAATAAATACGTTTTATTAGCTGCTTTTGCAAAATACTGATTTGTATTTATTTAGAAACCTTTTCAAGTTGCACCACTGTTAAATTAAATATTTATGGCATGATTTTCCAAAGGGTTTAACACCTGTTAAGAGTTTTACATGCTGAATTCAACAGGAGTTCCAAGGGCTCAACATTTCTGCAAATCTCAGCGGTGACAATGCTGGGATGGAGCTTCAGCTTGGGTGACATTGCTGAGCTCTAAAATGCAACCAGGGTCCTGCCCAGCCCCTCCTTCCCACCCAGCAATGCATTTCAGACAACTGAATTGGTCCTACTTTACTTGAAATACCAGAAATATGACTCATTAATACCTGTTAACTGCAAATAAAGCACAAGCTAAATGCTCTTAAGTTAATCCTCAATGCATCTTCCCTGTCCTTTACCAGTGTAAAATTTACGTGCAACTTACGGGGGAGCCTAAAATCCCCAGTGAGTCAACAGCTGGAAAGCAAAGCTTTTGATACTGAGAATGAGAAGCTGAATGAGAATGAAGCTAAAAAATACAGAATAAAGAAGAAAAGATGTCTGATACACTGTAAAAACCTGTGTCTGGTGACCGTGGGGCCAGTGACTTTGGCATTTGGCTTCTCAGCTCAAACTGAAGCCTGTGCCTCTGGCCTCACTGTCAAATGAAGTTAAAATAAGGGGTTAGGTTTTGCCATCCTTATTTTCCTCAGCTTCTGAGAGATTTGCACTTAGTATCCTCCCCAGCATCACGTTTTCAGGTACCCCACATATCCTGTTCTTTCACAAACAGATGTTTTCTCACACCTTGTAGGTGGCTGCTCTCCTGCCCTCCCAGGTCCCTTCTCCAGTTTCAACACATGCCTAAATCTGAACAACTGTGCAGAAACAACATTTTATATTTAAAAATTAAATACTGAGATATCCTTGTGGCATTTGGCCTATAATTCTGGCAGTAATAAATAAATAACATCTAAATAAGAAATTACTATATGTCAAAATGATTCAAATGATGATCCAACGTGACTTCATAAACCCCAGACAGATAAAACAGTAGAATATTGCAGATTGGACACATCAATCTCCTTATATGTTTTACTGCACACTACAAATCTGCCCAGCAAGTTCAGCATTTCTCTCATTAAAGCAGGAGCTTTCATCACACTATAAAACATTTTCAAATGCAGACCAGAAAACCAACAAGCATATTTACTGTAAAGCTTTGTATTTGTGTCATCAATTAACAACAAAAGTTTGGAATAAAACTAAAATAAAAGCTAATCAAAGCAGCTAGCTGTCAAAACAGATGGGAACTACAGTTTTCAAATCAAGCAAAAAGGAAAAGCTTTCGAACATTTAGTGTCATGTCAGCTCACACAGACAACTTAAAGGAAGGACAGCAAATGTCAGGATTTTATCAAGAAAAGGTGCCCCTGACTGATATATTCACATTTATGAATTTCCATTGATTTTGTGGGTTTTTTGGCTTTGGGATAATTAACCCACACCAAAGCAAACCTCTGAAATGTGAACTATAAATAAGGTGTCGCCATGACAGTGCAGGCAAAATAAATAAAAACAGAGCCTCAACATTATTTTAGCCTCAAACAAATATTTCAGTCCCTACATTGTCTGGCTCAGAAAGATACATAGACAGTCTCACAGACAGAGATATAAATGAACAATTGCAGTACCTTTTTCCCACACTGTTTACAGGGTTGGCTATATTCCTACTGGCAATAGATTTTCTTCTTGACAGCTTCTTGGTGTTGGTGCTGTCATCAGTGCTGTCATCCTCTTTCTTTGGTGTGTTACTTCCTTTGCTGTTCAGGTCCCTTAGCACATTATAATTAATTTTACTTGAGATTTTCTTCTGTTCTAACATCTTTTCAATTGCCTCTCCTGCTGTGCTGGCTTGAATTGGCTCCCGCTTCTTTGCAGATTTCTTTGGCTTAATTAAAATATAAAATTAGTGATGTAGGTACAAACAAAGTTTCCATGTAGCAGAGGGGCAAGCTGGAGTGCAGCAGTCCTGGCTCAGGTGCTGCTGATGTGATGGGGGGTGCAGGTGATGTGCCCAGGCTAAGCCAGTGCTCCCTCTCCTGCCACTCAATGAGATCAAAGGGTCTCTTTTCTCCAAGAGATGAATGTTTGCTTTTTTGCCAAATGCCCAGAGAGTTTATTAGAAATTCTCTACTTAATAAAAAGAGAGAAGAAGGATGGGCCATTTTTCACGTATGAAAAAAAAAAAGGAGGGAGTGAGCTCCTGTTACAGGAATAGAGACCTCACAGCATCACTCATCATGGAAATAAAGAACCTCCCCTGCTAACACTGCCTTTAAAGTGAGAGTGGAGCTGGGTCACAACTCCCCAGAGCACTGACAGCACCACGGAACCGCGGCCGTGTTTCGGACCAAATCTGAAGGCAGCGTGGGACAGGCTCTGCCCAACTCCTCCTCCTCGCTGCCAAGGGCCCAGAGCAGGAGCAGCAGCAGCTTCCCAAGGCTGGGATGCCATGGCACAGGGAGCAGGAGGCTGCAGGCACGGGAGCTCTGTCACCTGCAGCTGCCTCTGCCAGGCACAGGCCGCGAGCCCGGCTGATGCTGTGCAGAGCCAGGCAAGCAGGAATGACAGCACAGAACCCTTCCAGCCGTGTCCCATGCCTGGGTAGGTAGGAAAAAGAAAACAACCCAGAAGCACTGTTTCTCATTTGGCATTTTCCTATTCAAAGGAAGGTTTTAACACCAAGCTCTGCAGGAGATTTATTTTTTAATGGATAATAGCTCCTCTGTTTACCTACATGGGTCAAGTGCTACCTTGAAATTGGAAAGCACCATATTAATCAAGTTCTACTCGAGCTGTCAGAAACAATAAAAGGTTAGAGAAAAACTCCTGTGTTGTCCGAACAAAAAAGTGGGTGTTTGGGCTACTTGGCAGTGCCAAGGAGTTATACAATTTTGAAAATTGCTGGTAGACTGCCACGTCTGCATAAATGCAGGATGAATGAGAAACTCTGAAGTCTAAAACAGTGTTTCATTGTCTGGTTTTGTTTTTATTGTTGAAATACCTAGGGGAAGCAGGAAACTCTGCCTTTCACATTAGTCAGAAAAAAAGATAGAGGATATACACGCTAAAAACTAACATGGGTTTAGCTGCATGTGGAAGATTGGAGTTGTCACTTGCTCAATTACACAAAATACTAATGCTGTAAATCGTGAATATACGGCCAATTAGGCTGCTTTAAACTGCTAAACATGGAGACAGGACATGCCATTTGTTAACATAACCGTTGCATTCTTTATGAAAGGTAGAACAAAATACCCCTTCAAGTGACTGTAACAAGGATCTGTTCAGTTCTTCATAAAGAAATCATTATTGTAAGAGCAAAGAAAGCCACTGAAGTTATGGCAAGTACAAACAAATTCCCCATGCACACGTTAAAAAAAAAATCAGACGTCTTAAAACCTGTATTTTAATAAGCAAGCAATTAGAACAGCAATCATAAATGCAAAGAGCTAGCTCTGACTTTGACATGCTCAGAATTTTCTCATAATAGCAATTTAAAATAAAAGTTTGGGCAAGAAAGTGTTTTACTCATCACCTAAAAAAATACAGCCTTGCAATTCAGTAACAGCTAGATGTACTGTAGCTTTTGCTCCTTTAGTGGTGACCTGTACCACTATGCCCACACATCTACATGGAGCTGATCAGCAGATATATCCAAGACATTTTCAAACAGACACAATTAACACATAATTTAATACCTTGTGTTCCTTATAAATCCCAAGTTCTTTCTCTTTTGCTATTCTTGCTTCCTTTTCTGAAAGATGACAAAAGGGTAACCAGCATGAAAATTACACAAGACTGCATATTTCAGCAACACCAGCCAAAAGGCAAATTTCAGTCCTACATATTTACCTTTTTGTTCCTTCAAATAATCTGCATTTTCTTTCATCCATAGCTCTGCTTTTATCTGAGCTTCAGCTTCATTAAGTATATACTAAAAGAGAAAACAAATTTATGTACTTTCAGAAATCAAACTGAAAATCACAGAAAAAACTGAACTGAAGAAACACTGGCAAAGTCACTCCATGACCATTTTTAAAAATACATTAAAAGAAAACATGAGTGATATAAGACAATCAGAGAGTATTTCTAGTAACATCTGAAGCTGGCACAAGCAGCAACAACCTGTTTTCAAAAAACAGTGCTTGGTTTCCAAATTATGATGATGTGACCAAAAACCACCCAGGACTCATTATACATGGTCTGTTAATTAAACAAAAATGATCCTGGTTTTATGATCTTTTTCAGATGATACAAGAGGTTATCATGACAACGTGGTTGTCTGCAAGTAATTCTGTGTGTTGATGGTGGTCTGTAATTCAAAACAGGATGGGAACCATTGCCCTGTGCGACCAAAACAAAAACATGTGTCCTCTGGGTAGGCTTCTGTGAAGCTTTACACTGAGATTATTAATTCAAAGGCCACATCTGTGTGAAGGGAACCAGCTCAGACTGCTGGAGCTTCAGCCCTGTAGATTTCAGACAGCTGGGTTCAGTAACCACATGCAGACGTTTTGCAGTTAACTCCACCTAGTCTCGGTAACATCTTTAGTGGGAATGGAGCTGTAAAATACATCTAGGACTATTCAGATGAATCACAGAAATAAATAGACAGATAGGTAGCAATTACTTAATTGTAGATGACCTAAATGTAAAAATTAACCCAGTATTTAGCACAATTAGCAATGAAACTGAAGTTCTCTACAGGTGATGCTGTTTGGGAGTGAAGAACAGCAGAATGGAGAAGACAAATGAGGTAATCCATCATGAACAAGACACTTCAGTTTTAAGCAGTGCACCTGAGACTTGCAAAATTATGTTTAAGTGCAAGAAAAGCAATCTGAGGTTTCTCCACTTTTGGGTCTGAGCATTCAAGATTTTCTCCAAAGTAAGATGTACATTTAGGATTTCATAAGAAAAATAATTCCAGTCAAATGAAACTAATGCAGTCCTTCCTCCAAGGGCTAAACAGGAGAGCAAATGGCTGTGCTAGTCCTGGTTTATCAGACCAGTATTTTCACTCTTTCATCTGCTTCTATTAAAAGTGGGCCATAACAGTAAAATACACTTTTCCTTAGCTCAGTTATTCATGCCTCTTAGGCTTTCAGAGATTTCATAATCTTGGACTTACAATATTACAGTCTATTGCCACAGAAATGAACATGAAGTCATAAAAGCAGAGTTATGACCTCATCACAGAGCCTAGGAAGAGCAGAAAATGTGTTCTTCCCCTGTGATTGTTTTAATTATGGACTGGCTGTAGTGAAAAACCTCAGCCTTTGTGCTCCCTCCATTCAATGTCTGCTCAGACCGTGAGACCTTAATGCCCAGCCTAGCAAATCCCACCTCACAGCTACATTTTGGAGATCAGTAATTCCTGTGCAACCTCATCAGTCTCAGTGATTTTGTACCCCAAAGTGAGTTTTTAGCACTGGCATTATCTGTTCAGATGACTCTGTAAACCAGCATGGCAGCTGGAGAGGGCATCAGGCTCAGAGAGCTGGACTGTGGCGTGTCCATGTGCTGACCAGCTGTGGGGCCTCCAACAAGCCCTTTTCCACAGCCATCTGTCTGTCCCACTCAGCCTGTATGTTAAATGGTATTTTTTGCTGCCACACAAATAAAAATAAATCCAGGAAACATCACAGAAATCTTTGGAAGTACATAAGAGCTGCACATACTGGTTTTACAGTTTGGTTTCCATGGCAGCCTCCTATGTTGAATCTATCTTAATTAAATAATGAATGTAGAGCTCCACCAAACTTTTTAAAGTTCTCCTTTGGAAAAAAAGACATTCTAAAACATAATTATTCCAGCATGTTAAAAGCAAGCAGCAGCAGCAGCCTCATAAATATATATATATGTAACTTGGGCAAGGAACACCAAATTCACAGGTTTGCATGAACATTAGATTTCACATCACTGAAATTGCTCAAACCTCTCTATAGATCAGAGAGAAGAGGCAGTTGCAGAGAGGATAAACCAGCTTAAGGACCATTTTGTCTTTCCCAGTTATCCAGACAACCAGGATAAGAGACACCAGGGACAGCAGGGCACCTTACCCGATCTATTTCATTGTCGTCGATGCCACTCAGATCTAATTCTCCATCCCCTGTGTTCTCACCTGGAGAAAAGAACACATTTTAATCAGCCCATATGTTTGTCCAACACCTATTGCAACTTAAGTTCTGCAGTAATGTAACACTTCAGGACTGTCCTTCAGAGATTTGCATCCTTCTGCCTTCATCTGGGAGGTTTAATGTTGCTGAGTATTTTCACTGCAGAACTTCATGCACAGAAATTCACCACATTGGATTAATTTAAAATTCAGGAACCAGCACAGTCTTCATCAGTACTAAAAATCTGCCAGAGACTTCCAGTCACCTTTTTTTCACCCACTTTAATTTACAGCCACAAATGTTCAGCAGGAAGCTGGGGAAACCATTTCAAAAAGATGACCACTTTTCTTTCATCATAACAAAAATTTCTCTGTTAGAGCATATAGGTCAGTAATTTATCTGTAAATTATGACTTAGGAAATGTTTTCTATTTTCAGGGAAGCAGCACAGACCACTGCTGACAGTTACACCACTTTCTTCTTGACTTTCTATAATTACAATTTCACTGCAATTTTGCTAGTTTGGTAGTTATTAAGATTTCTGAAAACAAATTTTCAAATATTCCATCCATTAAAAAGCATAACAGCACAGAACTGAGGCTTAATTTGGGACTGGAACAGTGTACAGCTGCAAAACCTGATTTTCCACATCACATTAAAGAACTATAGCAATACACTATTAGGGTAGTCCAGGTAAAGAAGAAAACAAATTATTTAACAAAGACTTATGCTGGGGAATGAAGCAATCTTCTTGGTCATCTCCATTACATCTAATAAAGATCAAACAACAGATGACCTCACCAGTTCACTTGCAAAAAATATAAACAAATTAAGTTTCAACAATCAACAATAACAAATTAAAACCAAAGTGGTGCAAAACAGCTTGGCTTGTTCACAGCTCCCACTCCCCAATACTGGGGATGTGCCTCCCCACAAACCAAGGCCTTTGCTGGATTGATTCCCCAGCCTGGTGCTCCTGCACAGTGCTGGACCAGCAGAGGGTGATGCCAGGATCCAATGGCAGATCATGGCCAACCAAATGATAAAGTCAAGCAAAGCTTGGAATTAAAAGCATACCCAGAAGATAAAACAATGATCTGCTTGGCAAAAGTCAGGGGTTTAAACCAGTAGCCTGAAGTATGTGAAATAACAGGGCTGGGTATCCAACCAAAACACCAGGTTAGGAATGAGCTCTGAGCTTCCTGAGGTGGTACAAAGGGTACGGCTGCTCAGCTCAACAGACATCCCCTGGGATCAGCCACTGAGCACTCACAAATGTCTTTTCAAAATCCACCTTAAACAACCAACAGAAAGTTTTATACTTTCCACCCCAAGCCACAAGCAAAAGGGGTTTTAACCCTCAAAAATGTCCCATCACAAGGAACAGCATAGAACCACAGAATGGTTTGAGGTGGAAGGGACCTTAAAGATCATCCTGTTCCAACTCCCAGGCATGGCAGGGGCACCTTTCACCAGACCAGGTTGCTCAAAGCCCCATCCAACCTGGCTTTGAACACTTCCAGGAATGGGGCATCCACAGTTTCTCCAAGCAGCATATTCCAGTGTCTCACCATCCTCACAGTAAACAATTTCTTCTTTTTAATATCCAGTCTAAACCTTCTATCAGTTTGAAGCCGTTCCCCATTGTCCAGTCACTCCATGCCCTTGTAAAAGGTCTCTCTCCAGTTCTTTTGTAGCTCTTTAAGGTACTGAAAGGCTGGAGATGGGTCATCCTGAAGCCTTCTCTTCTCCTACTGAGCTCAGCAATTTCAGTTTTTTCAGCCCTTCCTCAAGCAGAGGTGCTCCAGCCCTCTGTAACACTATGGTTTGATTTTTTTCCTGATATTGTCTCATAAAAGCAATATCAAGTTTACCAGCTCAGATAATGTGGTGCTAATTTGACCAAAAAAGCTTTAAAGAACATTTCTCACTGTCGTCACATTTATAAATCTACCACATTAGTCCCAGGCACCAGATTTACTTCACAACCCTTTTTCCCCAAAATACTTTAGAAGTGCAGAAGATTTTATAATAACTACATAATTGATCAGTACATATGCTTTTCTTCTGCTGTGATCTCTGCACAGTGCAGTAAGAGCAGAACTTTCTGCACCAGTGCCAGCAGCTCCTCATGCAGGCACCCTGCTCCCAGCCAGGCAGGGATGCACCCCAGGACATGGCCAAGCACTCCCTGGCTTTAGGATGGGGAGGAAAAACGAGGTGACAAAACACATCCTGGTGGTTTGCTGCCTTTTTAATGCAACTGACTGACATTTTTTTTAGCAAAGCATAATCATTCAAAGCGTGGAGAGGAGTCACCCAAGGGAGGGCAGGGTATTCTTCAAGATAGGACTGCACATCTCTCCTGCTGGAACAGAGACAGAAACTTCCAGTGAGCTGGAGTGGCTGAATTTTCACCAAGGAAAGGAGCAAACACAGTAGTCCACTGTCTGAGAAACATTCCCAGGAGCTGGTCTACTTGGGTGAAAGAAATGCTCCATCACACAAAATAAAACAGCTCAACAGCAGAGTGCAAGGGGAGTCCAGACCAGGATAACCTGGCTCCTAGTTTTGAAGGAGTTCATACAAAAATGGGACTTCAACTGGGTCTCCCATATTCTGGGTAGCACTTTAACCACCAATTTGTAGGACAGAAGGAGGGATGCCCTCCACCTTCATTACATTATCTACCCCTTTTTTCCTCCCAAAAAAACCCCAAATTTTCAATTTGGTTTACCTGCACAAATAAAGGATTTATTTTTCTTCACTATTCATTGTACCAGATAAACTAAATTGGCCGCTATCTATAAAGGCTTGGAGTTATCGACAGAGAAAAATGGAGCCAATCTTGAAAATCACCAGTAAGTTCTGAAAATCACAAATTACAAAACCAAAACTTGGAAGTGGTGATGAACATACTCACTGTTCAACTTTACATAAATTGATCCCAATATTTATTGTAGTAAAAACTGCCAAAGCATCTTAAAAACAATAAAAGAGTAGTATCCCACTGAAGTATCCCACTGAAATCAAGCTGCCACTGCTTTTCATCATTATACACCTTACTCCTCCTATACCCTGCTATATTTTTGGATCAGAGGTTTAAAATTTAATATGTCACAGTACAGTAGGTGCCTGTTTTCTTACACAGCCCTAACATGCCAGACTGAAAACGATGCAATTTCAGGCACCATGAACAATTTCACTTGTCATTTTAAATATAACTTGTTACTGAATTAGGTGCCAGTTTTTCTCATTGGATCAATTAGCAACAGGGACAGAAAACTCATTCTCCAACTGTTAAATTGCAGAGAAGAATCCAGAAGCAAGTTACACATAATAAGCATTTCTTAGACCCCCGTAACAGCAGCAGAGGGAGTAATTGCAGGATATCCCTCTGCCTGCAAATCTTCCTTTTTCCTGCTATGGCGATAGGCATTCATTAAATGGGTTTTTCAGAAGCCAAGGTGCCTTCAAATCCCTACTTTAATGCTTTCACTGAGAAAAAAAAAATGCACGTTTCATTACAGAATGCCAATTTGAAATAAAACACATCCATTTCGGCATGAAAATTTCCATGGCAATCGTTTCCAACAGGAGTAGACCCTACCAGCCACAAATATCTGTCTGCTTGATGCTACACAGCTCACTGCAGAGCATGGAAAGCAAACCCATTGCTTTTTTATAAACCAGAAAGATCTTCCTAGCTGGTAAACTTTTCAAAGTGATTTCTAAATTATCATTTTCTCTTTTAATAAAAGGGTCGAAATGAAATGATCGACGAAATAAAAACACAGATGTGGCCAACATCTGGTCCAGCCTCTTAAGAGCTTATTTAAAAGCAGAAGCATCACGTGGCACAGCTCTGAGACATCATGGATTTCTTCTGTTAAGAAAAACAACCACTTTACTGCAGGGCACAGGCAAAAAATAAGTTGGGCATTAAGAACAACAACACCCCTTCCCTCCAAATCCAGTTGTTAAATGAAAGGATCACCAGGAAGAGCTTAGAGCAAGGACCAGCCTACTCCATCCTCACCCAACAGCTCTGTAGCAAGTGGAGGAGGACAGGCACTTCAAGAGCTTTCTATCAAGGTACTGAATCAGTACATTCATACCACCTAAAACCATCAATCATCCAGCGAGCTCCCCAAAAATTTAAAAATAAACTCCCCCCAAAGCCCTCCCTTTCCAGCCTTCTAACATCTTTCCAACCAATTCCAGTAGACATGAGGGCTACAATCAGACACTGGGGATTAGGTTTGTAAACCTGTAGGATTATTTACTGTTCTTGTCATTACTAAATACCCACTAAATCATCTTTTAACATACACTCTGCCCCTCTCCCTGCCTCTGTGCAGCCAGTTAAATGTATACATAGTGCACTATTATGGGGATTTATTACAGAAGAATCATTCCACCCGATATATTTTAAACCCCACATTTTTAAAAACAGCCACGTGAAGAATATGTTTTTCTGTTTCTATTACAGGAGGTAGCACTATTTATTGCTCTGCCCAGATAAGAGGATTTCCTTACAGACAGAAATGGAGGCTGAACACTTCCCAGGAAATCCTCTAGAGCAGATATAATAGAAAGGCACTAGGTCCTCTGGTCCTATGGAGCAAATTCATCCTTCACCACAACGTTTCACAGCAAGGAGTTTAAACAAAGAACCTTTCCACCTATTTGGCACAAAACCAGACACTAAGCACCTCCAGTATTCAAGAAATACTTTGGGGCTAGAGCACAACAAAATCTAAAAGGAGTTGGGAGATGCATTTTCAGTGACAAAAATCCTTATGCAACAAACCAAACAACCTGAGCCCGGGGCAGCAGAAACACTGGGAATGATTGCTGCCCTCCAGGGAGGGATTAAATCCAATGGGAGCCACAAAAAGCTCCCACAGACCATCAGAGAGACCCAATGGGCAGAAATGCTTTAACATCTCAAACTGATGAGCGATGCCGGTGCCACTTTGGGGAGCTGCAGTGAGTGCAAAGGG